AGTCTGTCCTAGTTGTAAGTTTCACCATATTCACTGCATCATTCACCAAGAAGTTCTGTGCTCAAAAATCATAAAAATGAATCATGTGTTGCAATTTGTGAAGAAAGTAGTAAATTTTATTCGATCTCGGGGACTGAATCAATGTCAGTTTTCTTCTTTACTTAGTGACATTGGATGTGAATTTGAGAGTCTACCGTACTATGCAAAGTTCGCTGGCTTTCGTGTTATAGTGTTTTAAATCACCCTGCGGACCTGCATTTTTATACCTACTACCCTAACTTGTGCACTGTTCACTTTAAAAATTAATATAAAATCTCCTAATTAATTTTATGAGAACACTTACCAATGCTCCTAGAAGTGCTTGAGGGTGTGATATTTCTCGAAACATTCCCCTCTGTGAAGTGGCATTACACAAAACTTGCAAATGTAGGCAGTCCTCCTTTTCTTGTGAATTGCACAAACATGGCATTGCCTAGAAGGCTGCTTCCTTTTGAAATGTTCACTCTTCACAATTTTCGCGAGGGTATGTTTCCGCATATCACCCGAGAGTCGCCCAGGGGGGTCAAAATGAGGCCTGCGTGGGGTGGGAGTAGACGGCCCCGGTCGTACTAAGACTGTGCCTGCAGCCAGTTCTGCCCTGTATTTCAATTTTGAATGAGGGTTTAGATTTTTGAAAACCAAAAATGAATTGAAAATGTCACTATTTATATGCCACAAGGCAACTTTCTTTATCCACTTTACTGCTTTCTGAGGAAGAGAATAATGGGCCAAGTACTGATCGGCTCTATCAACTCCCTTCATGAACATAGTGTGACATGTTGACCCCTACCTCCCCAGCGGCACGTAGCGGTAACGTAGCGCTTGCGTAATAGGCGAGTCATCACTCCGCCACTCTCCCCACGGTGACGTCACGAGCGGAGCCGAAGTTAGCCTAGCCCCCGCAACCTGGTAGCTATGCAACGTGCAACATGCGGTGATGCAACACAGTGACGCGGAACCGCTTCCTACTGTGACGTGGCACGCAACAGGCAACACTGTGGCTATATAAGTGAGCTGCACAGCGGCTGCGAGTTAGTTGTAATGTGACAGTCGCCGAGTGTGTTATCAACAGTTCTCCAGTCAGCCGACTACAAGTTGTAGTATAGCAGCTGNAACAGTCTTCTTTACCTGTCCATGTCTCCTTTGAACATCAACCATGCTCGAATTGTGAATTGTGGAAATCATATTCACAACACAAGTATCCCTCCAGGACTGAAGAAGAATATCCCCCTTCCTCCTGAATGTGGTTTCACCACGTTTCAGGGATTTACATTCCTCTTTCAGATCTGGAGGAAGGCCTCTGTTTACCCTAATTGTTCCACAAACACGTACTTTTCTCGAAAATAGGTGTTCTGCAGTTGCCACAGTGTTATAATAATTGTCTTGATGGACATGGTAATTTTGATCAAGATAGGGTTCCAAAACGGAAAGAATAGTTTCTTGTAATTTCTTTCCTTCACCAGAATACATTTCTAAATTTCCAATATAGCCTGAAGTGCTTTCAGTAACTACACGAAAAAGTAGGCCGTACGTTGTAAGTTTCCCAGGATTATATGTTCGCATACGAAGCCTTCCCCTCCAAGGAATCACAGATTCATCCGAAGACAGTTGTTGGTTTGGCTTATAAACTGTCTGAAATTTCTGAATGAAAGAGTTCAATAAGGGCTGAATTTTGAAAAGCCTGCTTGTTGATTGTGGTTGCAGTTCATTATCATTGAAATGCAAACACCACCAAATTTGCTCAAATCTCTTACGGCTCATTAGTTTGCCGAAAATTGGAATTTCTAAAAATGGATCTGTTGACCAGTACTCTTTCAGATTATCCCTCCTTGTATGGCCCATTAGAAAGATAATTGCAAAAAATTTTCTCATTTCTGCTGAAGTGACATCCACCCACCTCAACGCCTTATAACTTCTGTCATAATGTTCACAGTGTTGGAGATAATATCTGTTTTAGTTTCCTGAAATAGCATGTCAGAAACTATCTCCAAAAAACAGTTCCGCTACTTCAGACACTTGCATTCGGTCCGATGGAATTTGCTTTGCCCCTGGATTTCCAGTAAACTGTCCCAAAGCAGGCATTTTGTCTACTACCTGCACATTCGTCGGAGCTACGGTCACTCTCACTTTCACTTTCACTGTCTGTGGTCACAATTTTTTGTTCGCCGCTACCACACCCACTATCAGATTGTGAGTCGCTATCACTAGCAGACTATCACTATCACGAGGGACGTCAGATAGCTCATCGGAGAAGAAGTCAGATATTTCTTGTTCTCCAAGAAATTGCTTGGGTGTCAACTGCTTTGGTCTTTGATCCATATTGAACTACTGACTGACAGCTTGCTACGTAAAGCTTGAAGAAATACATTTATTTTCCTTTGCAGGGGCATAGAGTTACAGCGAGGTCTAGTAACTGATTGGTGAGCAGACATTCCAGAGCCTTATAACGCAGCTGCAAGCAGCTATGTGCTAACTAGGTGGAGCCAGAGAGATGTATAGTGTGTTGCAACTTATTGTGTTTTAAAAACGTGTTAACACGCAAATGGTCCGCCATGTTTAAAAGCGAAAAACCTTTTAAAGGGTGCGTGGTCCGCAAAGTGTTTACATATCGGCATCAAAATATCAGGACTCGGAGAGTAGACACGATGCACTGATACAAGAGGCTTGCTGTTCCTATGTGATGAACTATGTCATGTGTCAGTGCCTGACAGTTTGTTTCTACATTAAACCCAAGTTTCATAATTGCTTATAAGTCTAATACCTGCAAAACTTTCTATATATAGGGAGAATGAATCAGATATTGAATTTCTCTTGCATAGCCCAAATTAAGTGAGACACAATAGCTTAGGTCTGTCTAGGAGTTTGGGTAAAACTGCATAATGAGGAGTTCCATTACTTACATTCCCCTAGCATAATTAGGATGGGTTAGTAAGAGCTTGAACATGCAGGGGAGAAAGGAGTAGTGCATATAGAATTTTTTTTGGAAAGCCAGAGGGCAAGAGACCACTAGAAAGACATTGACATTTTTGGGAGGATGCTATTAAATTTAATCTTAGGTAGAAAGGAGTGCTATAGACTGGGCCAATATGAGTCAGGTTAGCAACAAGTGAAGGGCTCTTGTGAACACTGTAATGAACCGTTGGGTTCCACGAAATGTTTGGAAATTCTTGAGTAGCTGAGTGACGGGCCTCTTGCCAAGGACCCAGCTCCAGTCTAAGAATACTTGCTTATCGGGTTGAGATTCAAAGCAGAATAATGAGTGAGATTGATCAGTTTTGATGCCAGATGGCAGCATATAATGCCGTTAATCAGATTTCTAACTCAAAGTTACATGAATTACCTAGGTAAGTAGTCAGTAAGTAAGTTACAAATGGATATACGATAGAACTTAAATAAGTAAGAGTACTGATTTGAGAAATGCTTTTATTTCTCAGCGTAATCTCCCTGTACATTGAGACACTTGTCCCATCATTTCACAAGCCCCTGAAAACCCCACAACACAAAATGCAAAGAATGGGTCTGACATTGCAGCATCTCAATCGCTACCACGATGAAGGACACATTGTGCTAGCCCGAGTTGTCACAAGTGATGAGTCAATGTTCACCATTACCAGCCCGAGACAAAGTGTGCGTCAATGCAGTGGAAACATCCTACATCGCCTGCCAAAATTGTTTAAGGTGACACCATCCTCCAAGATAGTGATGCTCACTGTTGTCTGGGATCACGAAGGCATACTGCTCACCACATTCCAGCCTCAAGAACAAACTGTAAATGCCGATTCCTACTGTAACATTCTCAGGAAACTTTGTAAGGCCATTCAACGGAAGTGCCCAGGACTCCTCAGCAAAGGCGTGTTGCTCTTGCATGACGTGTGTCCCCATACTACCAAGAAGACAAATGAGGTGCTGTGAAATTTCAAGTGGGAAGTCCTCGACCATCCTCCATATAGCCCCAACGTTGCTCCAAGTGACTTCTCTTTGTTCGGGCCTCTTAAAAATCTTTTCTCTGAACATTTTCCCGACAATGAAGCTGTAGAAAGGGAAGTCCCCGCCTGGTTCCGACAGCAGCCCAATGAATTTTATGCTGCTGGTTTTCAGGGGCTTGTGAAATGATGGGACAATTGCCTCAGTGTACAAGTAGATTATGTTGAGAAATAAAAGCATTTTTTAAATCAGCACTCTTATTTCTTTAAGTTCTATATCCATCTGTAGCTTGCTTATTGACTTGCCCTCGTACTTCGTATGGATTCTGGTTTTACTCTCATACACACATGAGAGGTCTCGAAGTGCTGGAAGTAAATGTTATGACTCTCTAAATGTTTATGATGACAGCTGATTTATTATATTACTGCTATATTAGTTGTTGTCCATTCAAATATATTATATAAATTGGAAGTTTCAGGAGTTTCCTGTGCTCCCATCTTCAGGTAATTGTCATTATAGGTCTAGAAACATATTTGTTATTAGCTTACTTTTTTTTTGGGGGGGGGCCTGTCAGACCTCCATGATGTCTGTGTGTGTCTGCCCCAGTTTGAGTACTGAACTAGCCATGTGGCATGCACAAGAGAGGTGAGATATGTTTACAGAATTTTAGTTGAAAAACATAAAGCAGAGACCTAACCTTAGATGAAATGTGGGAAATTTTGGCTGTCTGATTTGCTGCACGCTTCTCAAGATGGACTTGGCAATGCCATAGCTCAGGCGGTTAGTTATCGCCTTCAGAACTTGGCGTCATGGGTTTGATCCAAGGTCAGGTCATGTGGGATTTCTGGTGGACAATTGAGGGGGCGGGATTTTCTCTGGGCACTTAGTTTCTCCTGCCAATCTGTATTCCATCAGCCGCTCAGTATTGAGGGAGTACTGTGCTGTACATAGTTATCAAGTACCTAACTAATGATTAACAGGATGCTGTAATTCAGTTTTCTTTCCCCACATAATAGTAAATGGTGGATGTATTTCAGGTCTACAGTGTGGACAGGATGACCAACATTAACCATTAGATGAACTGTTCAGAAGCGGTCCATTTATTTCATGAGGAAGTCCCAGAAGCTGGTGCTCTGATAAACTATGGTGATTGTGTGGCCAGTAAGTCATCTCACATGCAATGGCCACTAAGGATTGGACCGTGGGCTGTGGCAGGATAATTCCTGATAATATGTTCACCTCCAGAGCAGAGTCTACATTTCACACCTTGTCCAGTTGTGGGCAGAGCCAGAAGACAACATATCATCACCTTCTGAGGATCCAACAACTACAAAATGAAGGAAACACAGGCTCACGAATTGGTTCTCCAAGCGATTACTATGGTCTCTTGAAGGTGTGGTGTAGCTGCTTTGCCAAATATACCTTTTAGAACAGCTATACACTGGCCCACTGTGACATCATCAGTGACCATTTCTGTGATGGCAGCAACCTTGTCTGCCACTAACACAAGAAGAATTGGAGCAAGATACAATTTCCAGAACAGCAACAGCTGACCCCTGCTTGGTGTTGTGCTGTCATTTCCAAATTAACTTTATTATTTATCTGATGTTGACTGTGTTCTTTCGTGAAGATGACATCAAATTGAAATCTTTTATACAGTTCTTGGGTATTCAAGCATGGGGACAGTCCTTGCCATTTCTCCAGCTGCCTCTCAAATAAGCTACAGATCAAAGATAATTTTTGAGGTAAGCTTTTGACAATATGATTTGAACGATACTTAGGATGATATAGGAATAGCAATTTGTTGCATGGTAATCAAAGGTAATTTTTTTTCCATGCATTGTTCCAGGGAAACTTCTGGGAAAAGTAATGGAAGCTGTGGTTAAAGCTTTACCATCCATAGCAGTGGTGTTGTGACAGTTGGGAGACATCTTGAATTTAACTAATGGTGAGTAGCGTATTGTCTTGTGTTAGTGACTAGACGTGTTTTCTTTGCTTATTGGATTAGTCTAATTTAATTTACATGCTTTAGAAGCAAATACGGCATGCACTAAATCTCAGTTTGTTATAGTCTTCACTGGTTGTTGATAGGTTACTTCAAAGTCACATTACGACCAATGGCCAATCAGTCTGTCTTGATGTCTAGTTAATATCCGACAGTTACAATTTTTTTCAATATAGGTAAGGTTACCATATTTTGAAACTTAAAAATGAGGACACCATACGAGGGTTACCATATTTTGAAACTTAAAAGTGAGGATACCATACATAAAAATCGAGCCATACCAGCGTCTATGTACTTTCTAACACATACAGTACACACAATGGTCAATGATACAAAGTCATTTACTTTCAAACAATTAATGTAAAGTCACTTACTTCATTATTTGATATAATAAACTTAATGCATAAAAACTTTAACAATACACTTAATTGTGCAATCAGATTTCAGTCACTACAATACATTTAGGCTTATAATTGTTCAATTGAAATCCAGTCACTATGTTCCAATCTTAAGAGACCATGAATATTTTTCTGTTGACTTAATTTCTTTTAAAATGTTAGGATATTTCAGCAAGTATGAATGAAATGCAACACAATTGAAATGATGAAAGTTTTATTTCACAATAGCTAGTCCTTTCACTGACTCCACAGCAAGACGATTCCTCTCCTTAGACCACTGCATTTGAATTAAAGAGAACAGCCTTTCCACATTAGCATTATGTGTGGGAATAGCAAAGGAGAGCTGTGCTATTTTCAGGAGCTCAGCATGACACTCAACACTTTTTGATGATTTGAAGTGCTGAGACCATTTTTCATGATATGGTGCTGACTTCGTTCCCTCATTATTATATGTAGCTATGAATGTTTTCAGATTGCAGAATTGGTTGAAACACTTGCTATATCAATGTCAGTTCTTTTATCCATCAGGTACTTGATGGATGATTCAATTTCTGTCCATGAAAAATGTTCAAGTTGCATCGATTTGAAACACGAAAACTCCTTATATGGTCAATCCACATATCCAAGTATTCCAAGCAACCATTGTACAGATTTCTGACGTCATTTAGAAAATGTTTACACTCTGCTTCCAAGCCTTCATTCTCTCTCTCTCTCTCTTGAAATAGAGCTTTCACCTTCAGTGACCTATAGTTTTGCATTTTTCTTTCTTGTAGGATGTTGTGCATATCAGATAAGATATTGAGGATTAAAAGCACAATTCTTTTCCCTTTCAATAGACTTATTTAATGGAATTATAATTATTACTATGGACTAGTTCCACATTTACCAATCATGGTGGCCGCACAGTCTGGGGCGTGGGCCATCTTTGCCCGCTTGAGTATTGGGATCGTGGGTTTGGGTCCCGCTCGCGGCATGGACATCTGTGTGCATTTATTCTGTGTTGCCCCTGTCGGAGGATTCGGGATGAAATGTATCCAAAATAAAAATTTATATACCGGAAAATAATTTTCATACTCAGTAGCAATGTCGACACCACAGTAACAGGTTCAATGCTTGTTGAGGCTAGCAGAGTTGCAATTTCCTACGGCCGTCCAGCGTTGTTTTATAACGTAATATGTAAGTCAACATCCTACATGGAAGAGCATTCGGTTCTGGGCCAAAAAAAAAAACTGAGGACTATAGGTTGTCTGTTGCGTGTAAAATCTCCCGGAAAGACATGGAACTCTGAAGAAAATGTCAGTTGCATTAAAGAGCCATTCCAGCGAAGTCCACGCAAATCAATTCATGCTGCTAGCTTGCAGTTACAAATTCCACGTTCAACGCTGCACGATGTGCTAGACAAAAGTCTGGCTCCTCCTAGGAGCGTAGGGTAAAGGTAAAGTTGTCCTACGCCATGAAGGCGTGTGGGGGAGTGGATGTATAGACTCAGGTTTTCTTGATCTCGGCGCTAGTTGGAGGTGAGTGGTTAGCTTCACGCCCCCGCCGCTTTACCCCCGGGGAATAAGCCCTTGGTTCCCATTGGATAGGAGGTTGGGTGGGCCCCGCACCCAGTCTGGACGCTGTAGAGAAGAGAACACTCTTGACCCTGCCGAGACTCATACTCTGACCGTCGGTCGTCCAGCCCGTAGAAAGTCGCTATATCCACTACGCTATCGCGGCACTTTCCTTGAAGGTAAACTGCAACTATTTAAAGTGGATAGGTCAGAAAGTGAAATCCCCCAAAAGGAGACTTGACCTTGCCTGACTGAACTACATTTTTTCTTTAATTCTGCCCACTGTCTAGCGACAGTAATGCTTGGTAAGTGAAGAGTTAGCTGTCAAGAAACTTACCGCTATTAAAACGATTACAATTGAAATGCCCGCCCAGGTCCATATGTGGCCGTGCTTTTCCTGCAACACATCAATATAAGAGTCACATAAGATTTGATCCTATTTGAAACTCGTCTACTGACTTGAGTTTCTGAAATTTACCTCTATATATTATTTACCAAATCCTGTTCAGGAAATTTGAGTGAATCTCTCTCTCTTAGAAAAAATTTCAGTACATCATTTAGATGAAAATATAATTCATGTTAAGGAGGGGGAATTTCTTTGCTGCTTTTGTGAAACTTACCACCATATTCTTAATGACGGTTATAATACCATCCAGTCCCTCCAGGAGGGCTGAAAAAAAGGATAAAACAACTTCTTTATGCTACACACATATTACACTTACAGTCTAATTCCTGGCTTGTCACCGTAATGTCAATTTGTTTCTGTTCCGAACACAACACTTTGAGTGTATGCACTCGTGGAGCAACACGTAACCATTCATTATTACCCAGCTGGGTCCACAGTGTTGCATTCAGTTCTCTTATATTCCGAGTAGAGCTGCTAGGTATGCTTTCAGTGGACTGAAGCATTTGGGCTTCATGTTCTTCATCTGAATGCTTTATTTGTGCAAGTCAATTTCGTTTGCACAGTCAATGGCTCTTTTCAGTTTACATTCCTTAAATTCGTCTACCCTTAACCTAGCGTAATACTGCTTAGCTATATATACTGAAAAACACTGACGTTCTGACAATATAAATGAGAAATTTAACTCAGTATTTCTTATCTTAATTGGTAAGGGCAAAACATGGTACACACTGTATTTCACATGATTTGATATAGGAAGACGAACTACACAAAATAACTTTCCTTTAAAAATACATCAATTTTACTAATTCTTAAAACTAAATTACGGTATTACGGAATTGGCAATGTCAGTCACTTGATTTAATTTCATCTGATTCATGATTTGGGCTTGTGCATATATTTTATCTTATCACAGTGTTCATTATTCGTCAACCCTTAAAATGGATCTTAGAGAGGTAGGATGGGATGGTATGGATTGGATTTATCTGGCTGAGGATAGGGACCAGTGTAGGGTTCTTGTGAACACGGTAATGAACCTTCGGGCTCCATAAAATTCTGGGAAATTCTTGAGTAGCTGCAGAATTGGCGGCTCCTCCAGAATGGCCCAGCCCCATAAGAGAGTAAGTATGTACGAGATTCATGTGATCGTGTGTATTAATTATCCATCTTGCAGGACCAGAGGTCGCCCTTAAGCTAAAATAGTTTCGGTGCTTCCCTGAAGACATTTTCTCAGTGGCTTCACCTCCTAGCGACTTCTCAGCCCGCCCTGGTAAGAACGTCCGTAAGGAGGAGTCTCTCCGGGCACCAACTGCAGACCACAGTATGCAGGTGGCAAGTCCAGCGTGAGATAAGCCATATTTACTAATGCTCAGAACTAGTCACATGAAGCACAAGAAAGCATACGGGCTATAAGAAGCAGCAGATAAGAAAATACAACACATGAACAGTTGGTTTTCGAACTTAACGAGTTTCGAGTTGATTAGGCCCCAGTGGAAGTATGGAATACAGCAGAATTAATACGTTATGCTAAATTTTCAAATGGAGAGTAGTGGTATCTTGGACGTGACACCGTGTAGTCGGACAGAAGTATACCCAAGTTTTGGAGAGAAACTTACCGTATCCATCTACAGCAGTGGTTTCGCAATATTTTGCTACTTGCATCCAACCGTCCATTCTGTCGCAGAATCAGCCTCTCGCCATTGCACAGGAAAAAAAAAGAACGTTTTAGGAAGTGAAATTTTACAGCTATGTCAATTTTAGTATTATACTAATCATTATTGGAAGCTTTTAAGAATCTGAGGATTGTATAATCTGTTATTTTTTTTCCTTGGCACTACAGCCCCAGTGGGCCTAGGCCTACCTCCATGAACGTCTCCGTTTACTTCGAATTTTATTGATCTTACACATTCGGTAGGACACCTTGGGCGGGTGATCAGCTCGTCGCAAGGCCTCTACCTGTACACAAACACAGAAAAACGCACACACACAAACTAAACATCCATGTTCTGAGTGGGATTCGAACCCACGATCCCGGTTTCCAAGCGAGCGAAGATAGTACGTGCCTTAAGCCGGGTCCAGGCTTGTTGCGTATCCCCGTATCGTATCAGTGTGGACGGTACCCCGTATCATCCTTCCGTTGGAAAATGATACGCAACGGGCTGTTCGCTCGCTTGGCGGTCTTTTCCCGTCGCATCAAAGGGACGACTCGGGTTGCAGTGGTGCCAGTCTGGACGTGTAGGCGGCTGCGTCGCGCTTTGCTTATCAGCTCCAGACAGTTGGAGTGTAGTCATCACCAGTGTGCGTTATTCTGTTTGTCATTCTCTGTTTATATACTCTGAATGGAGTGGAGTGGAGTGGAGATGCGCAACAAGTCTGGACGCAACATTTTGTCGCGTTGCATCGGACGATACGCAACAAGTCTTGACCCGGCTTTAGACCGCTCGGCTACCGTGACCGTCATAATCTGTCATTACTCTTATCAAAATCCGCAGTCCTCATAACGACAGGCTGCGGGCTGGACGACAGACTGGCTCTGGGGTTCACCCAGCCTCCTGTCCAGTGGGTCCCGGGGGTGGGGCGGCCGAGTCG